GCTGTGAGGTTCATGGTCTATCCTAGCAACCACATAGCACGTCAAAGCCATGAACTGAGGGAAGATGACCGCTAAATAGGAGCCCAGCAGACACTGAGGGCTCTGGCAGCACCAAGGCCTTGGCTCTAGCACAGTAAGGCAGGCCCATCAAGGCAGGAACGTACTCTACCATAATAGCCTAGCAGGACTGGAGGGAAGCTGCTGACTTGCATAGAAATGTAGTTATCAAATAAGGCCACAAAACAGAACCTGGCAGCAGCAGAAGTCCTAGGTCAGAATTGAAGAGAAACACTCATCTCATAGAGAAAGGTGCACTTGTATAACCATGACCTGCCTGGAATCCCCAGCGGAAAACAGCCACACGCTGGAAGGAGGCAGGAGGCCTCATGGTCTGGCCATTGCCTAAGCCTCAACATCTGCTTGGGGACGGCTGCTATTCGGATGGCATCAGCACGGCGTGCAGGCTCCGAGCATGCCCCTGCAAGGGACAGACAGCCGAACTTGGCCTTCCTCGCAGGCAGGTGCTCACTCGCTCCTACGATTTGCACTATCAAAGAGCGCTTCAAGGTGCCGCAGGCGCTTACTGCACAAGTGACTCCTTTCTGGCAAAGGCTGCGCTGATTCGGGCTGGAAGCGGCGGCAGGCTCATTACCACATGAGAAGGAAGCTTGGGAGCTGCCAATTTCTAGCAAAACCTTTGCCCTCACTTGGCTGCTTTACCRCCATGTGCCAGATGTTCAGGGAAGCGAGCCCCAAGCAAACAAAAGCGTTCCCTGTGATTCAGACACGACGCGCAAAGAGCCACCCCACCATCCGCTCCCGTGCCGTTTGGTACTGACGGGTTTGCATAACCGGTGCTTTTAAGTTCACCCCTTGGCTTCAGAAAAGCAGGCTGGAGCACAACATGTGGACCACGCATCTCGGATAAAAACAGTCCAGGAGAGTGGATAATGTGCTGAGAGACTGTCCATGAGTACTGCACATGTAGGGCTGTCCTAACAGGCAGAGCAGGGATGCCTGCAAGCATCAGCAGCTCTCACAGCAATGACTGCAAGTCAGCACTGCCCAGGCATTTACCTGCAACACATGCAACTATTTTCTCCTTCATGGTTTGCTCTAATATCTCTCAAAGACCAAAATCAGATTACTAGCGTTAGGCACCTCTGCCCATCCACATTTTTCTTCTAATATACAGGGCTATACACGCCAATATAGTAGCTGGCTGGCAAATTCAAGTGTCAGAGCATCCAGAATACTGTGACAGAGGCTACCCTTATTCTTATACTGATCCAGTATATTTACCCAATCTGTCCTTTTCCTAGCTTAATCTCCTTCAGGTTTCCTCCCCATGCCCACCCCTCACTCCAGGTATTCCTATCCCAGCATGGAACAGAAAGCACCTCAGCTTTTACTTTTTCTTTGCTATATAGTCTGGTGCTCCTCCTTTTGTGTACAGCACCTCCCAGATCACCTGAGATCATACAGATGTCCAGGAGGTTGTTTCACCACACTGACCGTAACACACCAAATCCTTTGCCTCACTGTTTTGTGGCTCCTTTGGCATCACACTTTTACTTTCTTTATAACGACTCCTGAAAACCTTCCTCTCCCTACAGAGCAAAATACTTATCCCTTCCTCAGTGTGCAAGTGCTGCCAAAATACTAACATAACACAGAGCAAATCCCTCTCAGCTGCAAGAGAATAAGCTTATCTGACCACTGACCCTGGCAATAAATAGCCACTCGTCTTTCATTTACTCCTTCTCAGACAAATTCCCTTTGATTTCACTTACTCGAGAGCAGACTGCACAAGGACTGCAGTATTCAGCAGAGAATCTCCGAGCAAGCAGCTCCAGGTAGGTCCAGCTCAAGTGATGTCTCGGGGAAATCAAAACTCCTCGTATGCCAGGCGTGATTATATGACACGCACATGCAGTTGCCATCAAAATTCCAAGGCAAAGGAAATAGCAGAAGGCAGAATTTGGCCTGTTTTATTGAGGAATGCGTCCACTTCCACAGCAGTCACATTCTTTAGCAGGATGTTTCCCGTTCCCTTATCTCTGTTTTGCGGTCAGACTCCTGCTTGTGACAATTGGTTTGCAGTGGGGATGACATCTTGCAGAGGGACGGGCCTAACCTCAGATAAAGAATAAGCAACAGTGGCATGCAGAGCCTTTAGATCAAACAAGTGTCTCCAGAGGAATCCGGGAAAGGAAAGAATTCCCTCTGCCCCAGAAAACCAGGCGAGAAACAAACTCTCCACAGAGAGCACTAGGCAGGCGTTTGTCATCTTGAACTTACCACACACTGATTAAAAATACTAATGCTCATTACCAGAACAAACAGACGCCTACAACTTATTCCCATGGCACTATTAGCTCTCCACGGGGTCATTTCTTCTAGCTAAGAGACAACACTTCTTGCATCAGTCTCCAATAGAAAAAGCAGCTGTGCTAGCCACCTGCTTGCAGCTAAAGCCAGCAACAGTGGAGTAAAATTTTAGCCTCAAATAGGGAGAGACCATGCTAGAAAGGACAAGACAGATGTTTTCCAGTCAATTGGACTTTCTCCTAGAGTATTTAATGAACTGGTTCAGCAACATCAAAACCAGTAATGATTTTGTTTGGGAACGCATGTACAGTAGGGTGTTAAAGGATTGAAAAATAGTCAAAGTAGTGACTAGTGTTAAGAAATAAAAAAGGAAAGAGATGATTTATAATTCCAGTTCTGAGAATAGCGAACTTTCATTATCAAACCATTGGAATTTATTTCTACCAAAAAAAAAAAAAAAAGCTATGATAGAGTAGAAGCAAGATATGTACTTGAGTCATTCAGTACCGACATTCTGCTCTCATAAACATGCTGAGAAAAGCTTGCATATGATGAAACTACTGTGACATGAGTTCACATGTGGCTAAAAAACTACCCAGAAGGAATTATCAGTGGATTCAGTGCAGAAATAGATGATGCATCACATTGGGGTCTAACCAGGATCCATGCTGATGATGAAAACACTGTAAAGAATTAGATGTTGGACTGAAAAGTATGTTTATTAAATTGCAGAGGACACAAACCTGGAAAGAATGGCAGGTATGTTGGAAAGCTCTACCAGAGAAACTTGGCAAACTGGGGAAAAGGTCTCGAAATAAAAAGCTGGTAGGGAAAACTGGCAGAAAGATGCAACTGCACAAACGCAGGGTGCAGAGCTTGGGAGGCAGCAGCTCTCCAGGCTCCCAGAGAGAGGTCAGGGTGGATCACAGCTTAACTCCAGCCTTCAACATGGGGCYGCTCTGGAAACAGTAAATACAACAGCGGGTGTATAAAGAACGAGGACTACAAGGCTACACCTCTGCTCTATTCTGTTTGCAGCACTCTACACACTTCAGTGCACTGCTTTTTAAGAAAAAATATGAATCAAATGCAGTCACAACAGTAACTAGAGTAAGAGACCTGGAGAACATCACCTAAAAGAACTGGGGAAAAACATTTAAAAAGGAGTGTTTCAAAGAACAGAAGGCTGAGGAACCAACTGCAAGCACGCTGAAGTAACCTGCAATGCAGGAAGCACAACCTCCCTCTGCACTCTTACCAGGCTGAGCACTGAGGTAGGCAGTTCAAGTCACAGCAGCAGCTCTCCCCTGTCTTCCACTGTATTTTAACAAAGTCCTTACCACATTTTTCTGCGAGCAGGGGACACCACACTACGCTCTTCGCACTGCCTCCCATGTCTGCAAGCATGAGTTGGAGACTGAACTAGTTTCGAAGTAAACCACTCCATGCTTGGTCTTCAAATCAAACACTGACAGGTTCTACAGCTGCATTCAGGTTGTACAGCACTGACCTCCTTTGTATATTAAATACAGGCCTTTCCCATGCCCAGAATGAAGAATAGGAGCATGACACAAACAGCAAGGAAGATAACTTTAAAGTCAATTATTCATGTTACCAAARCCCACTTGCACTTGCCCAGAGGCTAAAAGGTACCCTTATCTGCCTAATACCAGGAAAATAATTGGAAGGTGGTGCCAGCGTGAGGCAAGAGGAAGTTGCCCTAAGGGCACCTATATAACAGCCGTATACAATTATAGTTGTAGACTGTTCTTACTCTCTATGTAGTGAGCTGCCAACCCCCTGCATTGGACCCCAAACACACAATATAAAATCCTATTCACCAAACATTAATCTATTTATTTGCCTATTTTCTGATGAAATCATTAATAAGCATCTGAAAAACAGAAATATAAGTTTTCTAAAACAGTACTATATCCAAACAGAAGTCACAGAAGTCACGATAACAGGAAACGATGAACCATCCACTGAACGAGCAGTCAGGGATCACAGTGTTCTTGCTTTCGGGACAGGTGAAACTTCACAAGGACACTAAGGTGGGACAAAATATCTATATGGGGAGGGAAAGTGATAGACTCACCATTTCAATGTTTTTAAGTTAAATGTAATACCTTTCTTACAGGTAATTTTGCCAAACAYAGATCATGAGACTCAGTACAGCAGCAACTACACAAAACACTGGGGTTTGTGCTGTTCAGGATGTCAAAGTTTGCAGACTGCAGCCTTTTCAACAAATCCTGCTGTTGCTGAATCCTCCTCTCTGGTCCATTATCCCCAGCTCCTAGTTCCTCTGCTAGCCACTATCCTTCTCCTTCCTCTGCTCTTGAACCCTAAGAGTCTATAGGACCCATGCAAAAGCTGGGCTTTTTAGGTATTCTTAAAATAAATCAAAATTAAATGCACTGTCTGGTAGCACATGCTATATCATCTTTAACAGAAAATCTTATCTGTGATAGGATGTTAGGTTACAGAGACTCCTTTGTAAAACATGTCTAATTAAAATTGAAGCCCGTGGAAGTAAAAACAGCCTTCAGTTAAATGGGGCAGGCATGCAGAGAAATTCTCCTCACATCAAAACGTGGCAAATGACTGTGCTATCTACCCACCGCTCCTAAGTAATGATCTTCATAATGCCACATGAGTGTTCTTACCACTTTCTCCTTGTAAACAATGTATTTCAGCCACTTGAAATCCTGCCATTTGAATCCCGCCAGAACAAACAGCGAATCCTTCTCGTACTGCTCCATTTTCTGGATTGCACCTTCAGGATACGTGATCCGGAGAGTTGTCTTGCCACCCACATCTTTTTCAAAGCCCTTTACTGGAGCCGAGTTCAGCCTGCAGGGCAACCAGAGAAGACACTGTCACGGATTCCTATTTAGTCCCATGCATCGATGATCCCGCACAGCTGCTCCTGAGCTCCCCGTAGCTGCGATGGGAGCAAACAGAAATCTCACAAATTTTCATTGCAAGCAATTATAAAGTTTTATATCAAGTGGCAGCAGTTTAATTAAAAGCCATTTAAATTATTTGATCAAATATAATGCAAACAGTTTCTGCACTTCCACCCTTGTGATTTAGATAAGGTTGGAAACTTTGGAAAAGAGACTGAAAAATCTGAAAAAACTATACAAATTTGAAGTAATAAATTAAGCATTAACATTTTAATAGCCCATCGCTCCCAGGATATCTATTTGAATTCTGCAAGACTGGGATGAGAGCATGGAAGTGCTGCAACCAAGGATGCAGTTCAAGCTGACTGGAAGCTAATGCTCTTACTCCCCAAAAGACTTTACACTGCTTGGCTTACCAAGAGAGAGATTTCTAAGGGAGCTAAACAAATGAGTAATTTTCAAACTAYGGAACAACTTTCATGTGGTTTTGTTCCCCCAATCGGCCCATCCCTGCAATGCCCATGCGAAGGATGAGGCTGGGCTGCCCAGCTGGGTGCTGCACATCCAGCAGCACTGCTGTGCCACCGACTTGAGATTGCCGAGTTTCTGCTGCAAAACTGCACCCTGCTTTGAAAACACCCAAGCAGAAATAGAGCCTTACCCCTGGGAACACTGATTTCTGAGGGAATGTTATGCGTTTAGCTGCGTTTTTATTAAGACTCTCCTCAGGGACAATTTTTTTTCCSCTTCCAAAACAAACTGTTCTGGTGTTAACTGCGATTATGACTTTCATGACATTCAAGTTATTCAGAACTTCTTTGCACACGTAGGCCAGTGTATTCAGTATTAGAAGCCCAGAGCTCAGGAAATTTCAAGTAACTTGGAATACAAATCTTGCTGACATCAAACAGCAGCCCCTGATGGAACAGCGCTGCCTGCTTGAATTATTGCAGTCTTCTTGACTTGGGATAGTTCAATATACTGGAAAGTGCTTATGGACTGCAAATTTTGTCATGTAGGAATGTTAATGAGGATCTGGATTTGTCTTTTCCAGCCTGGGTAAGCATTTTAGGTGGGAAGTCTTTTRGTAGAAGATCCCAATATACAACTTGAAATTCTATCTAAAATTAAGGAGAATAAATTCTTATGCATTTCTATTAAGTGGAAAGCAATTTAAGAATCAACACAATCCCAGTTTCTTTGGGAGATGACCCTACAAGCTACAAAAGCACTCAGAAACAGACAGAAATATAACTAAGTGCAATATAAAGAGTGCTGGTTATACATCTATACATGGCTATTGGCAGCAAGGCAAATCCCTGCCTCATTCCAACCAGGAGTTTCTGATATACTCTTGTTTTTACCATGTACAGTCTACTCTGCGCAGGCATTTCTGCTCACTGCTGSCTGATTGCTGCAAGTAGCTCCTGCTAGGAAGGAGCGGGACATCTGGAAACAGTGTCTCCCAAGTGTCAGTTAAAGATTAAAAAAAAAAAAGAGTGCAAACTTGCTGGTTTAGAATTGTCAAAACTGATCACATTATCACATTTGCTGCTGCCGTTACTGATCTTTACATGGCAATGCACAATGCCTCAGAAAAACTCCACGTGCTCCTGGGTCACTCCTTTGTCCACAGCAGGTACAATGTTCTCTCCTTTAAAGACTGACCTCCTACATCACTGATCTGATCATTCAAAGGGGATATGCAATCCGTTCTAAAGGTTCAGCAAAGGGCTGAGCCCTTACTCAGCCTTCATAAAATTAAAGGAAGCGAGTGGACACATTTAAGAAGTCTCCACTCATCTCCTCAGTCCCACATACAGGCACCTGGCTTCATTTAACCTTTACATTTGACTTTTCACTCCTTTATCCATCATTCAATGAGCACAGGTGCTTAGTTGCCCTCTTATCCTCTCAGCTTGCAACTTGACTTAGATTTACTGATGTGGAGAGAAGCGGTTGTACTTTTATTTAGAAACCAAATTGTAGACTTTCTGATGTAAATCTTAGTGGGTGGCTTAGTACGAATGGATGGAAACCATTCTCCTGCTACTTTGTGAGCAGTTGGAGCCTAACAAGGGGCTATAAACGGGCTGACTTCGACATATTTTAACTCAGTCCAAAGAGCTGCAAATCACCAGATTATGATGATTAGGAAGAGCCCTTTGCTATTAACTGACAGTGGGATGCACTTGGGAAAAGGGCTGTGAAAGCTTTCTCCTGCTCTCAACAGTCACTCCCGTGTCCAGAACACCACAGTGCAGAAAGGAAGAGTTCACAGGAGCAAATGACTGAGAGGAATCTTCTTGGTCTTTCTGTCCAGATTACCCCTTCACRTACGTTGCCAGAAGATGAGACGGTGATTCTGACTGTGCGCGTGTCCTATTCACTCCTCAGGGCCCAACGTAAGAGAAAGGAGACCAAGCTAAATGTCATCTTTAAATTCTTGCACTAATTCCTTTCTTTCTTCCACCTTAGCTAAGAATTTGCCATTTGCTACCACATTCCATGCTTGACTAAATTTCAGAGAGATGAATCAGTTTTATTTCCTTTGGTATGAAATCAGTTATCTCACTAAGGAAAAATACCAGCTCAGGCTATGTCAAACCAGTTTGATAAAGCTGCACTGCAGTTTACCTCACTTTTCTCATTTGCCATCATAATATTTTGTTACTCTTGCTTCAGAATCTGCTATAAAGCTCTGCATTTTATTCAAGTCAGATTAATGGGTCTGTAACTCCCTAGATCACCTCCCCTCTCCCTCCTACACACACTCTCYTTCTCGCTCTCCATTAGCACAGGTATTATGTTTGTTAATCTCCAGTCACCCAGAACACCTCCCTCACTTGACAGATTTATTACTAAGAGTTATGACTAGACCTGTGATTTCACATATCAGCACGTTTTTCCAGGATTCCGAGATGGCAACGATCCAACTCTGGAACAAAAGCAGAGTCCAAGCTTTGACTGCRGTCATTTCCACTTCCAGGCCAATCTGCTCCTTCTATCAGCTTCATCACCCACAGAGAAACTGAGGCAAAGCATTCGTGACATTCAGGGCCTAATGTAGAGGTGTTTAATCACTATTGTGTCCTCACTCGTGTAGAGATGTTTAACCACCACTGTGTCCTCACTCATGTAGCTTTCCTGCTGATCCTATGCTCAGTTCTTCCCTTCCTAACTGAGGATGGGGGTGTTCTGAGGAATACTACATATATATGACCCACAATGCTTGCTTGAACTATCTAGGGGACTACCTGAGAGCAGATCTAACATGAGCAYCACTAAAGAGGCAGCTTTTTGAAAATGTGCTCCAAAATGGAGGTGAACGTGAGATCATGGGAGATGAGACATTCCCAAATAGCTGTGGAAAATGACTGAGATGAATGCCCTTTCCCTTCAATGTGATCATCACCAGTAACTTAAAACATTTAAGTGTTTTTGTTTTTTTCTCCATCTTAGTTAAAACTTCTATACTAATACTKATCATCACTAGTGAATACTTAATCTTTGCCTGTATAGCATACCTACTGACATAGAAATTAAATATATGATAAGAAAACTGCAATRCCAAGGACTCACCTGACAACAACATCATAGTCATCAATTTTTAACCCCAACGACTTATTTGCAAGTACTCCACCATTTCCCACAATAATACATCGTCGACAGCTGAGACTGTGGAAGAAACACATGGGAGAGGTGATTTTTGTAATATGACTTCAAACATGCAGACCTGCTTATAGCTAACTTGCAACTATCCAAGAATTGCAGGAATCCTTTTGGGAATACTAAGAATTAAGGGGAAGACAGAGATGCACTTGCTCCCCAGCTCACCCCATCGTGCCCGGGCATTACATGGGATCAACTTCTTTCAACACTTCACACCACGTGTGGCCTAATGAGATGAGCTGTCAGGACAAGCAGCTTCTCTCCCCCCACACCTGAGTCTGATGGACCCAAATCAAACCCATCTGTTTACTTAAAGCTCCTCATTACTCATTTAGCATTGAAACAACAATAAATCAAATGCTAAGCAAGGAAGTCCTCTTTCTAAGCAATTTTCTAAGTGCAGACAGACCTTGCCAGGTTATCTGGTGTACGCTCACCTTCATAGCGCAAAATTGCTGCAGTTATCATGAGACTTCAAGAGACGGAAGAACACTAAATGGAGAGAAAAATGAACCTCCTCCTCCCACTCCATCCAGTAGGAAACACACACAGAGACACAATGGGTGAGGAAGGGGAAGGAAAATAACCTTAATTAACAAAGAAATAGAAAAGAAAAGGAAGAGAATGGTTTCTTGTGTAACAGTGAGTCACAAAAACTCTCTGTAGCAGATGTTAAAAAGTGATTTCGTTTTGAAGACTGAGAGAGGACTTCTTTCCAGCCATCTAATCCCAAACGCAGCTGGTTCTTCTGGCAACGTGCCTCCATCTCTGGAAGTTCACTGAAGGAATACGTGTCTGCAGAGCCTCTTTCGGAAAGGGTCCAAGACAATCTGTTGTTTGGAGCAGATCTCCGGGCTCGGCGGCCTTCCTGGTCCCAGGCACAGCTGACTGGTCTCCTCTGTGCTTTCCTCCGGCCTTTCTGTGATCAGTCTGAAGAGCCAGCAAGAGGGAAGCTCTGCTTATGTGAGGTCTGCCTTTCCAGAGCAGGGCTGGATTACACTTTAAAAACTCAGCTAAGCCACTGAGGCTTAGCCCGTTGACAGAACCATTAGCTGGAGATATGCATGAAATTAGTGGTACCCAAGAAATGCTCAGAAACAGCTTCCCAAGCCTAAGTAAACCCATGCTTTCCAAAAGAAATCTCCTTGAGAACATAGTTAATCCAGTGCACAAGTCTCTGAGACCAAAGGGCTGTGGATGCTTGTGATAAGCAAACTGGGCAAGAGAAAAAGAACCTGAGACAATGGCACAGGAAAGAAAAAAAACAGTTATAGTTCTGGTGACAGGAGGAAAGCAAAGACTTGACTCAAGCAGCCTGCATGTTGTGGCAAGAAGGGAAAGGAAAGAATCAGTCCCGAATATATACACCTGAGTGACAGCCATTACAACAGTTTTGTCAAAGACTTCAAGGAAATAGGACTGCAAGAGGGGAAAAAAACACAGCTCAGTTTCAGCTAGGTGAAGTTTCACATCACAACACACTGTTCGGATGATTACAATAAGCTGGTGTCATCTCCTAAAGAACAGACTGCTGGGTGAAATACTGTTATTTCTCTCTCCACTTGTCTCTGAGCCATAACTGCTTTTTAAAAAAACATCCTGCTGAAATCCAAAGGCTACAAGTGATGGAGACTCCCCCCTCTCTCTTCCCTTCTTAGTGTTATGATGCTAACTTTTACCAAGTTTAAATACAGATGTGCTCRCTTCAGCCTCAAACCACTTAATCGCATTCTTCCCTGTTCTGCTAAATTAAAGCACCATCTACTGTCAGCAGCCCCGTCCACATCTGCATGTGATCCACCCCCAGACAAACCACTGTGTGTAAACATCTGCCTCTGGGTGGATAATCAGTCACGGGACTGGTGAGCATCAGCCTCTACGTAGGTGGCAAAAGAACCAGTTCTGCCAGCCAAAGCCCTTCCATCAGCCTCTCTTGATGGCCCTGTTCCACTCAGTCCTAGAAGACTCCAAGTTGCTTCTTAATATTCTCTTGACCAAGTGGGGCGAGTTCATCACATCTCTTACGGCATGGCAGCTCTCCTAGATCTTGAGTCACACTTGCAGGACCTCTCTGAACCATTTTCAACTTCTCCCAAAATTTCTGAAGCACTGACTCTGCAACACCAGTATGCGGAGCTAATGCTGCTCAGAGCAGGGTCCCTTTTACACAGAAATTTCATACATCTCGGCTTGATGTTCTTTTTATAGTCATTGGTTTGCAGAACATAACCCTCGTGTTATAAGCCTGACCTGTATTCTCACCTCTGGGATGCCAGGCTTTCCATTTGGCTCCAGTAAGGAATGAGCTGATTCAGAAAGGTCCAGACTGATCAGACCCTCCTACTCCTTTCTACCCTGGTCGATGGCTGCAGCAAACTTCTCTAGAGTAATTTTACATTTCCTGCAGATCACTGTTAACCACTGGGAATACTTTTCAGCAAGATTAAACTGGCAGTATCCCTACAGAATTAATTCCTATCCCTGAAAATAACATTTTAAAGCTGTGTGGCGTATCAGCTTTTTAGGAACAGGCTATATCTACAGTGACATTTGACTTGAGCAAATAACTAACACGTATCTTAAAAAAGGCTGCCTTTATCAATCAAGCTGCTAGTTCAATTAAAAAAATATTGCATTTGAACAACAAGTTTCTGTTTCCATTAAACCCAAGCTAACTAGCATCAACTACACTGCCATTCTCACTGTGTTCCAGATCAATCTTTCCAGTACATTCTGCAAAACCAAGCTAATCAACCAACAGCCACCTCTRTCATCACACATATTTCTTTAGGAATGGCACAACATTTTGCTGTTCCATCCAGCATTTCAAAAAGTGTTACAAAGCAAACATTAACGGCAGAAAGAACTCCTTACTTAACTCTTTCAATACTGGCCAGTACTTRCTGAATTAAGAATATATAATATTATCATTTAATATCCTCACAGTTACTGATAACAACGTACTAAATTTTTCATAGTTGCAGCAAAAAGGGACAGCCTCATTCTATTTCTCTAAAAAGCGAATGAAACAAATAGTTAACTGAATTGTTCTGCCCCTTTTTGTCATAACCATGTTTGCCCAGCTTTAGTTATTACGTCTGAACCATTGTTATATCCTGCTGATCCTGATATAATTAAATACTACTTCTTCTTCCTTTAAATCTGCAGATGATAGATTTTTCACTGGTATCTTATGGACACTAAGGTCTTATCTTTGATCTTCTAATTGCTTGCTCTTCTCACAAGAGTACTTTGCACACCGTAATCACAAAGCCTGATGCCTCTGTTGTGCTCTCAAAAGGCAGGATTTTAGTCCCTCAATACTTTCTCAGGTACACATGAGGAGGACATGGTCAGTCTTGGACTCTGCCTGGGTTCTGCATGTCAGGTACAGAGCAGTCAGGAATTTTTGGATCATCAAGATGGAAGCAGGAAGGCAAGCTACCTTGGCTTCCCCAGCTTTGGCAATCACCGTGTGGAACAGTGAGAAGGCAGAAGACAACCAGACCCTGTGGCCACTGCAGAAGGGACACATCTGGCCGAGACATCAAGCACGTGTCCTCACATCCCGACCAAAAGTTCAGGCCCTCATGCTTGTCCAGTGGGACCCCTCCATCGTGAGCACAGGCCGATGGTGACTGAGCACTGGCACAGGCAGCTGGCAGTGGCACTGCCGGCTGCAGGCAAGTTCCTGGCTAGAGACACACACCACACAAGGTCAGCTACTCAGCTCAATTGTTTCTCCCCAGAGACAGGCAAGCACCTTTTTGCTTGTTTACAAAGCTGTATTTCCTTACCAGAAGTGCTCAAGTACTGAAGCACTTTGGACACAGCCCAGGTTCCAGTTTGCTACCAGGGTGGTATGAAGGCAGGTCGTGAACTTTCCCCACCGGAGCCCCCAAAGCCCTAAGCTRAGAGCCTGAGCCAGATGTGGAGCCTCTGACACAGATGCTTAGGGGGGTCTGAGCTCATCTGCATGAAAAATGGGGATTCACACTGATCTTCTTGAACAACGTTGCACTGTAAACACGCGTGTGCATTTTTTATCAATTGCTACTTCCTCCTCCTCTCTGATATCAAAGGGCTTTAGGGATTCGTTAGGGTAAAATAACCCACAAAGCCTTCCTTTGATACAATTTCACAACTGTGGAAAAAGTCCTAACTGCATACTTARGGGTTTTTTTTCTTTCTTTTTTTTAAGGTGAACTGGTGCTCTTGGAGGCCAAGATTTTGGGTTGTCTGGCTGTTGCTACTTGGAGTGGTGCAGGCAACCTGAGGCAGAAGCAAACACAAACCTCAACCTCCTTTCCTGCTCTGCCAATTCCTTCCTCATTCATCGGTACATATGTTGTTTTAACAAAGACATCTCAGTTATAAGCTCAAATTCACACTTTGTCTTCATCACCACATTGAAACAATATCAAAAGACCGAATGACCATTTTGTGGATTTCCTGTGAAATTACAAGTCATCACCACAGAGATTTATACTGAAATTAAGAAAACAGTCAAATCCAGCTAGCAAAAGAGTCATAGACTAGAAATCAATTTGCAGAATGAGAAGGAAACTGGAAGAGCCACTAAAAGAGGCAGCAAAAATGTAAGGGATGTTAACAGGAAGGGATGTTAACAGGCCTGGAAAAGCCAACAGGCAAGAGAACTCTGACGGGTCACAGAGACAAGATGCCTTCAGCACTGGCTTTATGGAAGAAGATATGCTGGCACTGAAGGAAGAAGACACATTCTATAGAAAGTCCACTTGAGCTCCAGYGTCTCCCCCAAAAGCTCAGGTCCGAGTTGCAACTACCCTCCCAAACACAACTGCAGCTTCCCCTGCCTCTTGCCTTGCACTGGCAGCAGGTCCTGGAAGCAGTTCAGGGAGAAGGCGCCATAACAAGGAGACATGAACAACTAAAAGAACAACATCATTTGCACCGTGTTACAGACGTGAACCACAGCATTTGTTCCCATGCCCTCCAGCCACTGCTAGTCATTAACACATAATGGAGGGATTAGCTGTAGTGAATTGGCAAAGCTGTTTTGTGGTAATGAAAGGTGCACACGTACCTGGAAGGATCGAGTTTGCCTTGTTACGGCAACACCTTGGTGCGTTGTGTTGGGAAAGGTGCATCAGGATGCTCTTTTGGCACAGGGATAACCAAGCAAACAAGGTCACCTCCAGGACTTCTGGGGGGGTATGGGAAGGTAGGATCTCCACGGGGGAGCTTTGTGGASGAGGCCATAGCTGAAAGAGCTTGGGTGGGGACAGGCCTGAAGGCTCTCTGCAGATCCCCGCTACACAACTCTAATCCCCTCTTTCCTTCCTGCGCTCTCACGCACTGCTCTGACCTCACCTCCCCTGCTTCTCCCGCCCTTCCCCCAGGAAAGCTGCGCTCAGCGTGTGATTACATGAACGTTTGCTTCAATAGGTTCAGAAGTGCTCGCCCTCCCCACCCTGGCCGCCCGCTCCCGCCCAGGCCGCAATTCCCAGGCTGTGCCAGCGCTCCGTTTCAGTGGGAGGGGAGCTCTGGAAAGCAGGTCACTGAAATGACCTGGGTTAGGAGAAAAACTTCCAAATTGGAATCATTTCAGTGACCCAATTTAGATTTTCCCCCTTCCTTCAAGCTACAGCCTGAGAGCAGCAAGCAGCAGCAATGGTAACTTTTTAAACTGGCTTTGCCAACAGAGAAAACGTTGGTTTAACTCCATGCTGTGGAGAAGCTAAATCTGGAGCTTTTCTCCTACTAGAATCAACTTACTAGACTTCAGGGAGCCTAGAAGTGGAAGAGCTAATAAGACCTTCTAGTCTGACCATTAAGCCACTAAACAGCAGAGCTTATTGTTCCTGCATGGTGACAATAGCTTGCTCTTGCCAAAAGCATCCTCTAGAAAAAAAAAATCTGAGCCAGAAAGTAAAATAGAGGACTAACTTCCTATGACTAATGTTCCTCACAGTTCTTCTCTTTCACTTGTATTTGAATTCATCTTTTCTGTATTTCAAGTACAAGGTCTTTTTTCAGCTCTCAATTCCCCTCCCATTGTTCCAAAGGGTGGACAAACACAGCAGGAACTTTAGAGATCAATAAAGGAGAGATCAGAAAGCCACCACAGAGTGGTGGCTTGAGTTGGCTTGAGATAATACAAAGGGCCCAAGAGCTCTAGCAGTTCTTCTGAAATCCTGAAGAGCTGTTGCTGTCAATTGTAAATTGTCAAGCAATCACAGCAGAAGAATCATGTAGGAAGTGCACCCAAATCTTCATCTATGCTCTACTCATCAAGATTTCCAAGAACAGCACTGAGATATCTATACCACCTTCTCCAGTGCCCTAATRCCTCCTCTGAAATAACACATGTGCTGTAACTCCATTCATCTACTACTTCAYGCCCCACCTTCATGGCTTGCTATCACCCTAAGCCTTTCTTGCCTCTTCCTCCCACATCAGTTTCTATCTTTCCCCCTTAAGACCTGCTCACTTGGTAGGATTACAGGAGATGTTTGGCTGTCAGCAGTYAGAATCAAATAGACAAGGTGCCGTCATGACCAAAGCCTAGCTCGGGACACATAAGGAACGAGACTTCAGGTACTTTAATTTCATTTGAGGAAGGCAGCAGATGCTGCCAGGAGACAGAAGTGTATGATGCAACCCCTCTGTCCCACAGAACTGGGGAAACAATCTACAGAGATGACAGCAGCTACCASCAATTAATTTACTGCTATCAACTCAGAAAGTATCCTTAACCCTTTTCCAAGGGTATTTGGGGTCTGCTTGGCCTCAGCTGTGCAGCCTGTAACATGAGTGKGCCAACATACACAGGTAGCACAACTTCAATGGAAACTCTGAGCTCTCCATACTTGTGCTTCAGGCTGGTGGAAGAAACATGTGCTACACATGCAACATCAGGGCTTTGCATCTATCACAGAAGTTCCTAGGGGAACTCTRTTTCCCAAAGATAGGTCTGTGTTTACAGACACAGAAGTTTGATCCCATAATACTTCTGAAATACRTTCCTAACACGCTCCTTAGTTCTCTTCCATATTTGCCATCTCAGAGGGTTTCAACATATGATACATTTCAAAGACCTGAGTGTTACAACTTTCCTATCTCTGCACCAAAACTAAAGAATGAGAAAGCAATGCAAGTAGCTCATGTAAGAGTAGCTATTTATCACAACCTTCTGGGAAATGACCCAGTAACCTCAAACAAACCCTTTCCAATCCTCACAAGGAAGGTGGGCAGCAAGAGTCCACAAGAGTCACTATTACACAAAGTCTGATTGCAAGAATATTCCACCTTTCCTCTATATCATTAGCACTAATATCCCACAAACCAACCTCCGTAAGAGTCTATCCATGGATTTTCAAATACACTAACATTTTAACTAGAGCTAAATGCCATATAGGTAAAGAAATTTTGCCGTTTGGACATAATTTCTCAAACAGATTGCAACTTTGAATCCTAACCCTGCCTAGCACTGCTAGCAGTACCTACAACATCCTATCTGCCTATACAATCTCAAAACAATTTAAATTAGCACATGGCTTGCAAAGAACTAAGAATAAACTTCCACACCAAGAGCAACTCCCAACTCCAACTACAGTGGACAAGCTCTATTGACATGAGAGATGCAGATTGTGAGGGAAAGGCTAGAAAAGCCTATGAACTTGGTCATGGAAAAGTGGGCAGGAAGGGAAGTGGGCCAGGAAATTAAAACAGCATGTTTGGAAAGCAGGAGCTCTGTTGTTAGCCTGGGCTTAGGGAAGGACCACTGCTTCAAAAGGAGCTGCGCTGGGACTTTGAAAAGATCTCATGTCCCAGTAAAAGCCTCTGACAGCTTCTGAAAAGAACTATGCCTGATCCAGGAGGTGGCACTAAACCAAAACTGAAGGGCAAAGAGAAGGAAGGAAGGAAAAGCAAGGATGGAAAAGCCTATGAGACTATACATCTATCATTGTGGAGTTAATCATAAATATGTCAGGGAGTTTTTGAAACAAGCTTCACAATGGCAGTTAAAAAAAAAAAAAGCTTCAATTCAAGAAGTACCTCAGAACTCAGCATAACTGCTCGCACATCATCACGACATAGGCTTGGCCAACACAATCACACATTCCGGCCTTAGGAACGAAGTATTAACAAAACATGGTTAAAACAAGCCAGTCCCTCCTTTCTCTCTAAAGGGGTTCCTATGATCTTGTTGCTTTGTCAGAGTGGCTAAAAAAGAATAATGGATTTATTGAAACCAGCTATTTAGACTTGAAAAATAGGCTATATTGTGACACCATATTACATAAAAGCTTAGAAAACAGTTGAAAGTAAATGCTTTTTTTCTCCTCTTATGTTTGACCTGACAAAAACTTCAAGAACTTRCAGACTGACTGCAAAGAGGACTCTGTTTTCAGCTCCTGACCTGGCCCTAAAGCACAGCCAATCTCTGGCAAAACTTATTCAGGCCATGTGGAAAATAATCACTTTTATTCCTTCTGCTCTGAAAGGTCTCATCTTACCTGTCAAGAGCTGGAGTTAGGCGGTAATCTTTGGTTGCTGACAGGATGGCTTTGATCAGATTATCTGGAGAGAAAGGAAGAAGGCATTAGGAAGAAGTTCTTAGTTGTAATGGAGATGAAAACCAAAGTGGTGTCAAGCAGTTAGAAGCAGTTACTCCAAGCAACTGTAATGAGGCTCATGTTACGAGAAAACACTTAAACTTACAAATTCCTATTTTCTCTGAGCAATGATCTTTATGTAAAGAGAGACAGAAAGACAGAAACAAAAATCCTAGTACAGTTTAAGGCTTTGCATCCACTTTCACGACACTGCACTAACACTTGAGGCATGAAAAAGGCAGTGCCACTGTCAGTGCTCACTTTCACACAAGTGATTAGGAAACTAGGCAGTGAACTGGATACAGGAACAGATCCTGGTTAAAATTAATCTTTTTTTATTGTGCGGAGTTAGTTTTAGCTCAGGTTCAGTTCAGGCTGGCTTTTCTCTTGGCAGAAACTACTTAAATCATAATAGTAGCCTAAAGAAATACCCATGGAGCCACAACCTGTACTGATAACCAGTGAACACTGCAGCAACCAGATAGTACAAGTTCTACAAAGGCAGATATGTGCCCAAATAAAATCTCATCAGTAACAAAGTACAATGATCATACATAAATAATTCTGTAAACTATGGAAATTGTGGCGTCTGTGTCCTTCTGGATTTTGTCCTTCATCCCCAATTTCTCCCACCTCTCTCTCCTACGAAGCTTCTAACTCTTCCACCATGTCCCGCAACACTCTGGCTAGTCTGGTTTTGCAGATGTACCATGCCCTCTTCCTAGGCTTGAGCCTGGCTTCTGATAGCTACATTTACATTCCAAAGACCAGGAACCATCAACCTCTTTCCACCCTCTTCATCAAATCATAAATATTTATCATACCCTGTCCCAGAAAGTGCTGGCCAATTAGTTCAAAAGGTCTTTGGGAGCAACCAGTTGAAAGGAGTGAAAAACCTCATTTAAGAAAGACTAAAAATGATTCTGCGATACTAAAAAGACTGATATCTAGTGACTGTAAAGAGCATAACATAATTTGTCTGATGGACACTCCTGACTGCATTTGGCACAATCAGGGAACTCCCATTAAAATAAGTTCTGTTCTTATTTACTACTTGCATGACATTATAGAAAAAACAGATTGAGTGATAGAGAAGCTGAATAAACTCTGTGTGCCATGAAACTTAGAACCTGAAAACGAACAGGTGAGACACAAGGCAGGGGTGCAAAGATGACAGACAGAAAACCTCTGATGGTTGCTTGTGGACTTGGCATTATTTTCAATATGGCATTTACATTTTATGTGGTATGGCCCTGGCGAACCACAGCTACAATCTAGGCTCTGTGATTGCTTTCAGAGGTCACATTTTRGAATAGGGCAAGGGAAAGAGGTTATTTATAGGGCAAAAGCAATTTATATTGCTATCAAAAATTTTTTTTCTTCTATTTTCCCTCATTTGAAGGACTCCTCCTGCCACATTGGCAGCAAACTCCCTCTTCAGTGGGAATGTTATTTTTGAGTCTTCCTCAAGAGCAGTAGGTTGCTGTGACCTTTAATGGCACCGTGCCACAGTCCTCTCCTTGGCCCGTCTCCTGCACTCACTTTCTCCGGACAATGTATGTTGTTGTGGCCGTTTTCCCACACATTCTACCAGAAAAAAGATCCCAGGATTGCATCTCAAGGGCTGCAGCCTCCTATGTACCCAGGCTTTGTGCCCGGTTTGCTCCACCAGCCAACAAGTAACGCCCTGTAGCTACTCCAAGTGATATTTGGAGGTCTATTGTCATATGATATTAAAGAGCACACTGGATACAGCTGCCTAATGCACCCAAATAATTCTGTTTTGCTCATCTTGCCTCCTAACTTGCAAAGGTTTATGAATTATACACGACTACTTCAGGCCTGGATACTGCAGCATTTGGGTCAGGGATAATTCCCTCCCCTGTCATGTGGGGTGAAAGCACAACACAAACAACAATATCGGACATTTAGTACAGATTCTGAATAGTCAAAAGAGAAATTTTTTTTCAGTCACCCCCACAGATTATTATATGGCATCCAAGAGGTTGAAAGTGCACAAATCAGAGTGTTAAAGTCCCAAACTGCTGAAACTCCATAAAAGGCATCTTTCACTGCCAAGTGACTTGCACTAGGTACAAAAAGGGCAAAGATGCCCTCARTGCCAATTTGCCTAGTCTAACATCCTCACTGGAAGTCAGGAGTGGGAACCACAAGCACAAGGAGGACAAGCAAATGGGTGGGCAGAGAATAAGCACGAGGTACTTTTGATGCATCTGGAGCTCTTCTAGAGATGGACATTACTGGGGTTGACRCAGGCCCTTGCACTTGATATCTTGCTCATCAGGATACAAGTAAAGACCAAGACGTCCTTCAGAAGGACCTTTATAACCTTCTAGAACAAGGTCTGAAGGATCAGCAGATGCTTCTGTGGTTGGCACACGGCTTTGAATAAAAACAACAAAGATGCCTCCAGCAGGAGCAACTGGCAGCATCTTTCAGCACAGCTGGACAAAGGTGGAGAGCTACCTGGAATCATTATGGCAAGGACAGACAGCAATCTGCAGGAAGCAAAGCACTTTTAATGTCCAGATTATAGCTAAGAAAAGCCAGGCAGCAGGTAGGCAGRCAAATCATGTGAAAGTTTAATATGAAGCATTCTTTCTCCTGGGCAAGCAAGAAGGTGAAGGAGTGCTAAGCATACTCTGCCTTGCGTACTAACACAGTGAGGAACAATTGTGGATGCAAGAGCATGTTACAAAGATGGACAAATATAAACAGCTGCCCTATAGCACAGKGGTAGAAAGATGCTGAAGTTCTACACCATTTATGTTAAATCAATATCTGATTTATCAGCAAGTGAGATCTCCGRCAGAGACTGCAAATGCTGCAACTCATACACATAACACTTCCATTTGGATGGGACAATAGTGGGAACAGCTCTGGGATGGGCAGAGTCTCAAGGGAGAAGGAAGGAACTAACAATTGCTATCTGCTTGCATTGAACACTACAAAGAATGAAAGACTCCAAGCAATCCAAAAATCACTGTGTTGGGGAGCTCATTTGGCTCCTCATAATCACTTTTTTGCATCAGTCTTAATAAACAAATAAATAAAGGCACCAGATGAGTATGGTCCTTCCTTCAATGTGGAAGGGCCCTTCCTTAAARGTCAGGTTTTTCTAACACAGCAACAGCTACGCAAATAATCTGGCTTTTTTGTAGGCTGTTTCCCCAGGTCGCGACGAAGCCCTGGCACGGGGGCAGACACGACACCTGCCCGGCTACAGCTCCTCTTGCTTGGCAGGTGAGGAGACCAGAGCTGCGGGTGGCTGTGCTCTGCCTTGGGCACCAGGGCCTCGAGGAGGAGCCTGAGCCTACATGTTCCGAGGGCTACAAAGGAAAAAAATCCTTCCAGGTGCGTGTGCAGGTTGTGTGCGCTCACCGCTATCACTTCCATGGCATGGGCACATAGCYAGGCCAGGAGACATGGCCCTCGTTCAACAGGTCTCTCGTTCTCCGAGGGCTCTTTCCAGGCTAGATGACACCCAGCTACTTCTGCACATACGCTTCTTCCCTGCCACCCGCCCTCCACACACCAGTAGGGATAAGAGGTGAATTCAGTCTGGAAAGTCTGACATTGGCTTCTTCCTCACCACCAGCTAACCCCACAAGTTGTTTTGTCCAACTTTTTTCCAACCTCTTGCTGGAAACTGAACTCAAACATCAAACTCATCTCAGAATGATCATCCCATGGTCATTCAACGGCCACAAGTTTGGAAACTTCCTGAAGACTGAGCAATCCACCACGTGCCACCACCACTCCAGCCATCAATAGCTCCTCCTAGCTCAAGCCCAGGGTTTATAGGTTGGGTACTTTTGGACCAYAGTTTACTGTGCTCCCTGGATCCAGCTCATGTATGTGCTCTTTAACTCCACCCAAAATATTAGGCATCTGAACATGAACCAACACTAAAAACATGGTCTTCCTATAATCCTTCAAATCAAAGATTATCATGTGATATGGATAAAAGCAGGCATACATAAAATATTAAATAAAAAAATATAAATATGCATATTCTTGAATTCATCCATCAGGTCTGCCACCTGCTCTCCTTAGTTTCTGAGAGCAACGAATGTCATTATACTCCAACCAAACTTACTGAAGGTCACCATGCAATCAAATGACATAAATAGGAATAGAAAAAGCCCTTGACTGCCAGACAAGGAGCCCTCTGCAAGGGCCTTCATCTCCAAATAATCTCTGGCCTTAATCGTGTTCTTCACACGTGTTTGCTGACATTTTTAATGATAAACTAGGAAAACGGACACCAAAACCTGGCATTTTCATGCCCACTCCTCCCCGGTATTAAATAAAGAACACATTACAAGGGCAGGTAATTTATGACTTTTTTCCCCAGTCATTGTTTCTATTCTTTGTAGCTTTGTCACAGATAAATTAGTTTATTGTGGAGAATGGAAAAACATTTAATTCGTTTGTCTATTGATCACTATGCTCATTGTAYTACACAAACAGAGCAATATGCCTCYGTACATTCCCTCCCTCCCAAAGCAGGAATTGACTATATTTATCTAAGAACCCTGAGTTATCATGACATATGCTATCAGTTTTTCCTTATAGCGTTGGAAGATTCAAACACAGTTCAGGACTTCTCGATCTCTCTGAACTCAAGCACATCGTGACTTCAAGCTGACCCTGAAATCTTCAGACACTTGGAAAAACTGGAAGTAGATAGTTAGAAATTAGGCAGGCAGTGACCACACAGTGAGAAGCAGCCTAGGTCTGAATTCTAGCATTTTTATGTGRAAGAATGGAAACTTTTACTGTAAATGTCAACAACACTTAACATTGTTGTTTCCAATGCATAATTTCCTGCTCCTATCATTAAAAAAAGATGGAGACCTTTCACTGCACAGGACTTGCTGCAGGTATCTCATAAGACCAACCTTTTGTCTGCTTTAATAAGAAGCAAATTGGGCTGTTCCT